ATTACTAGCAACAGAGGTTTCCTTTATAGAGAAACTAGAACCCTTTATTTGACAAGGCAAATTAGTTGCTTCCCTTAAATAAAGGAAGTTCTGCTGACAACCCAGTGAAGCATATTTTTGTTTTAACCAGGCCAACAGGAAAGATGTCCAATTTACCCCCTTCCAAAGTCTTGGTTGAACTATACCCTGCACTGGTCCAAGGCTATTTGCTTTGGAATCTGACAGTCCACCCTCTTCTGTGGCTTCTGTTCATATTCTCACTGGCCTTGGGGGATTGTAAAGTCAGAAGAAGAGACTGCAGTTAGCTGGCCAAAACCAGATAGTGCTGCCCCACAGCCACATTACCCTGATGTGCAGCAACCCCAACACACACACACACACACACACACACACACTGAGTACAGCTGTTTTTTCTTCATAGGGGGACTTGATTTTACAATCTATGGTTATAAAATTCCCAAAATGGGGGAAATGATTGGGCTAGGGATGAGGCTGGAGGATGCAAAAGAGCAGAGCCCGATACTTGGATGAAGGCTTAGATGGAATTAATTAGAACCTATAGCATCTTGGAGAGAGTAGCCACGAATGTGCTCCACAAATCCAACATTTTACCTAGAATATGAAACAAACAAGAAAACAATTCAGACTGTAAACTTCCACAAAATAAACAGAAGGTTGATCTTATCTCATTGAGGGCTGAGATCATGTGCTATTGTTCATAGTTATACCCCAAGGACCTAGCATAGTATCTGGCACACAGTAGGAGTTTGGTAAATGCTTATTGAATGAATAAATTAATCACAGTAATAATAATAATTACAGAAATAAATATTTATGGAGCCTCATTTGTATGCCAGGCAGTGTTCTAAATACTTTACATGTGGTAACTAGCTGATTGAATCCTCACAGCAACCTTCTAAAGTAGGCCTATAAATACTTCCATTTTATAGAACAGGAAAGCAAGGCTTAAGAGGATTGTGCCTTGTCTAAGCATATACAAGAAGTAAACAACAGAACTTGAATGAACTGTTACTTGCTAACGGAAGGCAGGAGCACCCTGGCAATCTCTTGATCATTTGTGGTCTCTTTGTATTGATAATGGTCAACCAAGTATACTGTGAGGCAAACCCAGGTGGTTATTCTTTATTATTTCCCCGGCCTAGGATGTATTCTCAGTCTCTTCTATCGTCCTACCAAATAAGCACACATCACTTCTTTCTTTGTATTGGAATCCTACTCATTATTAAAGATCCAATTTAAGTTTCTGATGGGGAGCACAAGAGACTTTGTTGGAAAGTTTGTAAGGAGGACATTCTGATAAAAGGGAAGTGTGTGGAAGGCCGCCTGCCTTGTTTATTGGAATTCTGACTTAGGGGAGACTTAGGGGAGTGTCGAAGGCAGCGCCCCTAATTATTCCTTGACCTTTCCAAACAAGTTTGTGCTTATGCAGACCCAGGAGTGTTTACTGGAATCCTTATGCTTAATCCCTGGATGCCCTTGCCTAGAGGACAATGTAAACACATGTGTCCTCCCAAGATTACTCACCCCACTGATTGTATCTAAAGATAAAAATTCTAATAAAAGCCTAACGAGGCAGGCAATTGAGGCTGCTTGGACCCTTGAGCCAGGCAAGCCCCTTAGCCCTCTTTCACAGTGAAACTGTGTCAGAGTAATCTGTTCATCTGTCTTTCAAAGGCTGCTGGTCAGCCTTGGCAAATTTCATCTCTTTTACTAAGCTTGCACTGATTACTCTTACTAGAAGAGCTCTCTCTCTCTCTCTCTCTCTCTCTCTCTCTCTCTCTCTCTCATATAGTACCCATGGGCCATATCACTATTTGATACTTGAAAGCTACATAGCACACTGGTTAAGAGTCAGAATTTAGAGTCAGACAGAGCAGGATTTAAATTCTAGCTCTGCCAATTTACTAGGTGTGTGACTGTGGGCAAGTTACTTAACCTCTCCATCAGGAGCATGATCTTTGAACTGGAAAGAGAATTAAAGCCCAAGATAGATGAGGAGATAATAAGGGAGCACTTAGCTTCCTTCAATGAGTTCAAGTTTCCAGACCCAGACAAATTACATCCCAGGCTACTAAGAGAATGTGCAGATGTGATCACAGAGCCAGTCTTAATAACCTTTGATAAATTATGGCAAAGGGAAGAGGTGAGCTATACAAAGAGGCAGACAAACATTGGTCTAATTTTTAGTGAAAAGTGGTGGTGGTTTTTCATGGTACAAAATATAGATCCTGGAAACTGTAGACCAGTGAACATGGCCTTGGTCTTTGGCAAAGTCAGGCATGCACTATTAAGCAGATCATTTTCGAGGCTTTAGAAAGGGAGCGGAAATCACTAAAGGTAAGCATGAGCTCACTGTAAGCAAGTCATGCTTAACTAAGCCCATTTCCTTTTTAGAATGGGTATCTAGAATGGTAGGTGAAGGGAATACTATAGTGTAATGTATCTGAATTTCAGCGAGACATTTGAAAAAGTCTTATAGTAACCTCATGGAAAAGATGGAAAAGTAGGAGCAAGGAAGTAGCAGAGTAATAGAGATTGCCTCAAGTTTGAATGACCTTATTAGAAGTTATTATTAATAAGGGGAGGGTTCTAAAGTTATGTTGCAGTATTCTGTCCTATACATTAAGTCATCTAATACTCTTATTAGTCTGGTTGATCAAATATGTAAATAAAGAGACTTGGTAATATAGAGCATGCACTCTCAATGGGAGTGATATAAACCCCAAGAGAGCAAAAATTAGTTGTTTAGGAATAAAAATATATGTATTTTCTATATACAGAGCATAGATATACATATAGTACATAAACACATATACAGCATATCTATGTTATTAAAATTTCATAGAGATTGGGGAAAATGTCTAAAAAGATTATTTATGAGTATGATAAAAAAAAGGTTGAGAAACATTGTTATAGATAATATGATATTCTAGATGAGAGACTCAAGATCTAGGAAAAAAAACAAGGGTTGAAATAAAAAAAACAAGAAGGCAATGGTTATTGAAGGTGTGCATTATACCCAGCATCTGGGTTAAAATAAAAATAAGTTAGGTAAGCATAGAATCAGACAAATAATAGTAGTTCATTTAAGAAACAAAGGAGGGTTTTAAATAAGCTATGTTACACACTGGGCAGATCTATGCTCAAAAGACACCAGAATGGTAAAAGATCTGGAAACCACGCCCCACGAAGCATGGTTTAAATGAATTGAGGATATTTAGCCTGGAGGACAAAAGACTGGGGGTGACATGACAGATATTTGAAAACTCTGTCATGTGAAAGAAGAATTAGAAATAATGTAATGCTCATTTTTCCTCAACCTAAGGAATACATTTTTAACCATTAGGGGATGCCTAAACATGGAACAAGCTGCTTTACAGAGCTTTGTAGATTATCAGGAAGATATTTCTGCCCTGAGTAGTAGGATATATATGGCCTCTAAAGTTCCTTTTCATTCTCAGATTCTATGATTCCTTACTAATTTTTAAATCTTGGAGATGGAAAAGATGGTTGAAAAGATGAGCCCAGACAAGACACCCACCCTTTGTTTCAAAGCCAAAATGCCATAACGTGGAGGATACTGGTGTGAGAAATCTGTCACCCAAGAACCAAATTGGGTGCCAATATTTAACTCCCTAATTCTCCTGGGCTCTGGCATTTTATGTTGCCACTTTCCTCTAGCTCAGTTTCCATCGTGGCATAGAAGGAGAGAAGGCACATAGGGAGCTATGGGGAAATGTGAAGGGGGAGTTCTCAGAGACCACAGTTATAGAACTGCTTAGATGTTTCACAGAAATATTGGTATGGAGCCAATGATTAGGAAGAGCACACTTCCTTTCTTCTCAGGCCTCTCCTTGCTCACTTGTTCTCTCTTTCTCTCTCTCTCTCTCTCTCTCTCTCTCTTAATTACTCCCCCCCCCCAAAAAAAAGACTTGGTGCAGACGGTAGTAATTTCAGGTCAAAAGGTTAGCACCACGTTGGTTGGGAAAAACATAAAAATTAAAACTCTTATTTAAAACCCTCCTTTGTTTCTTGAATGAACTACTATTATTTGCCTGATTCTATGCTTACCTAACTTATTTTTATTTTAACCCAGATGCTGGGTATAACATGCATCTTCAATAACCATTGCCTTCTTGTTTTGTTTTGTTTTTTATTTCAACTCTTACGTTTTTGTGTTTTGTTTTGTTTTTCTAGATCTTGAGTCAGATCTTTAGATGTGAGAGCTAAAACAAAACAACTTGCAAATCGTGTTCCTGGAATTGTGTCTCAGTGAATGTCTCAGGAAACAGGACCTTGACTGGGGTACAGCATAGTATTTTACAGGGGTCTGAGTATCCTGCTGAAACCTTTTGGTTGGCCTTTAAGAGCAAACATGGTTATTTGCTCTCCTTGTCACCCAACATTGCCAGACAGAATCTACACATCCCCATTTCTAGACATTAAGTAAGCTTCTTATAACTGCCAGGGCATCAAACTCCATTCACCTCCCCCTTAATGCTCCTTTCTCTGTGTCCTTGGCCAAATGTAACCCATTTCTTCACAAAGCAGTGTTTTGTGCCCCCCTAACTCCTCTTTCACTCCCACTCACTTGCTGAAGTCCTCATCATTATCATAGATCCATGTATAAGGGCCATGTCTGCAGACTAACCCACAAGAACTTTCCCAACACTTCAAGATTTTTCTTGCCATGTCGTCTTTCAAGTAATGTCTATGCCTGCACTATTAACCCTGAGAAAACAAAGTCAGAAATCTATCAGACCCCTCCTGAAAGTCCTATTTCTCTTTGGAAGGGAAAAAATATTTCAAATGTGGCTTCCTGAGTTTTCCAACTTGTTGGTGGATGGATCTGGAGTGGGCATCCCATCTGCACATCTGGCAGAGGCGCTTTCCAGATTTTCCTCATGACTCAGGATCAGTTTCTGACTGCTAGGCGGGGCAAAGTCTCCTGAAGTTTCTGCGAGTCACCTCCCCCCTGTGAGCAGAGCTTGGTACAGCCCAAATAGTTTTCAGGTTAAGAAAGCCAGAATCTTTGTTCAGCCGCACTGACTGAACAGACTTTGTAGGGGTTACCTGGCCAAGAGCAGCAGCAGCAGCAGCAGCAGCAGCAGCAGCAGCAGCAGCAGCAGCGGAGGCAGCAGCAGCGGCAACTGGGATAACTCAGGTGAGTAGAAAGAGAATTCACAAACTTATCCTGGAATTTTATTTGCTGGATAACTTGGTGTAAGAAAGAGGTAAAGAAACTTGAACTTTATAGTTACTCAAAATCCACAGCTATCATTGTATGGTTTGTCTGGATAGAATGTGCATGTGTAATAGCAGTTTGGAAACTTCCAAACTGATGGACTTTTTTGATTAGTTATTTTGGGGAGGATGATTGTGGTTGTTTGACAATGAGATTTTTCTAGTGATATCTCTGCGTATGTATGTGTGTGTGTTTTGTCTTCTGTTCCCTGAAACCCTGGTAAGAAAGGACAAACCTTCCTTAGTCAAGTGAGAAGAACCCAGGCTGATTGTCAAAGCTTCCTTCTAGCTTTGTCTGAACCACAGCTGTGGGCAAATTATTGAAATGCAGGCAAAATCTTGGAACCACACTGTGTACAAAAGGCCTTTAAGCCCTGGAAGTGGGGTGCACAGGCTGTGCACTGTTGCACTGGAGGGAGTGGCAGCAGAGGCTGTTCTGTTTGCACAGCCAGGAGTCCTCCTGTCCTGGTGACAGGTTGATCTTGGCTATTTTATTTTCAGCCCCTGGCCAGCCTGGTTTTGTTCTTCTCTAATTCTTGCTTTGCTTTAAATTTTAATTTGCAGCTGTGGTTCTATACTCTCCCACTGCCCTACCTCAACCCACCCACAACACTGTCACTGATGTTCTAGGGGCTTAATGGGACTACTTGGCCAGAGCGGGCAGGGAGTGGAGGGAGGGCAAGAAAGGATTAGATTATTGCAATTGAAAATTGGATGTGAAGATTTGGAGCTTAAAGTTTGGTGAAAAGCACATAGGAAAATTAAACAAAGTCTGTCACCCTAACAGTCTCTTCTAACTTCAGGATAAAGCATCCTGGTTTGTACTAATGTTTTCTCGAAATTTGGCTGTCTCACTTAAAAATCTTTGTTGTGAAATTAAGAACCTTTTATAGTCTAAAGGAATTTTTTTAAAGATTCCTTGGGGCCTGCTAATTAACTCTTTTATTCCTCTGGCAGTTTGCATGCATGTACATGTGTATGCACATGTGCGCATGTGTGTGAATACTTTGGATTTGAATAGCATTCTTTATTAGCAGTCTAGGGAAACTCTAAAGACACTTGTGTAGTCAGGAATAAGTTAAAAAGTAGGCTTTTTGCATCCTTGGGTGTTTTCAGTTCCTAAATTAAAAACAGATAAAGCCCCTTTGTGACCCCAAAACAGTGTTTCTTTGATTAGCCTTGATTGGAAATCATCTCACTTTCTGACAGTTTGCAATTCAAAAACAAAACACCTAAGTGCATTCTTCTAAGAAGAGGACAATTAGAATTTTCCAAAGCAATGTCTTGAAATTTCATGTTTGCATGCTTACCCCGCCCCCTTTTAAAGTGTGGTGAAAAGTGTCAGGAAGTACTGGTTTTAGTGCTAGCTCTGTCATTAACTATGTAACCTTAGGCAAGTCCCTTCACCTTCCTATAAAAACAAGGACTTGGGTTAAGTGATTTCTAAGAGTTCTTCCAGCATAATTCTAAAAAATTGGGATTATATTCTCAGAAGGCTATAAAATTAGACTTATAGGATGAGTTTATTTATCTAAGAGGGGGAAAAAGGGTAGTGGGGCAAGTCAGCCAAAAAGGAAGGGTGGAAAAGAAAGGAGATATTGAATGGTGGAGGGGCCATTTTATACTGGTCTTTTAAATGTCTTTGAGTATCTTATTTAAAGCATGTGATCAAATCTCCTCCTTTTCCACTAAGGACAGAAAAGAGATTGAAATTGCTAAAAAAAAAATCTCTTAATACTACTGTCTTACACTGCTTATCCTTAACAATTTAAAAGTATTTTCATGTATTTAATGTCATTAGATTTCCCCAATAACACCGTGAGGTGTATGGGGCAGCCATCATGTATATTCTCATTGTTCTTGTGGGGAAACTGAGGGAGCTGTTATCTACACTAAATGGTGGTATTTTGGACTTGATTCTGGATCAATGCACCATTTCCCTCAATGCATCACCCCCAGGTGTGAAGAGAGGAACTGTTGATTGTGGCTAAAGTGACCCCTACTTTGTGCCAGGAGAGAGTTAGGTCTTCAATATTCAGTTTGCTCAGCAAAAATACCTTATTGTTTTTACCTCTGATTTTGTCCCAAGTATAGCGCAAGAGCAAAACTGGGGAAAAGGAGAAAATAGCAAGGGCCAACACTCCAGAGCCATCCCTTCTCCCTCTCTCTCCCTAAAATGCCTTCCTTTACCCTCCCACTCACCCCAATCAGCAGAATTTTGTAACTCACAAACTGGGTTTCCTATATGAGTTAATTATTCTCTTTAATAAACTGAGTTAGATTTCACTTTTTAGAACAAAATCTGGTTTCTACTCTAAGACGAACCTGCTGGTCAAGAACAAATGATTTTCCTCTTAAGATTTTTGCCCAGCTTCTCAAGCTTTCCAATCCAGTGAGTAACAAAAGCTTTCTCTCTTAACTGTAGCCTTGTGCTCTATGTGTCGGGCTCCCTCAACTTCCCCTGGCAATTCTCAACTTTCTATACTTTGCATCTACTCCTCCCACTTGCCTTGATCCACATGGACTTCTTCCTGCTTCTATCTCTAGGCAGTGGATCCTAATTTAAGTATTATTGCTTAATACTGTTATCTCAGTGCAAAAACTCCACACTTGGTTTCACCCAACCATTCATGATACTTGTCTCAGGACACAGTTGTCCCTCTTAGATGTGCATGTTCCCTTTGATAGCTATTTCTTAGCTAGAGGCTTTTTTGGGATTGATAACTTAAATCCCTAGATTTGATTCTGTTTACTGACTTTCTTAATATGTGGTTATTAACCTAAAGACTCTCTCTTCTTCACAGTTGGGTGTAGCAAGATGGCAAAGAAGGAACAGTCCTTTCTTCACTCTCCTACTCTCTGACAGGGCAAGTTGTTATGACAAACCTAACTTACAAATTTCTGGTTTTTCAAAAGTTTTCTGAGGGTTAGCTGATGAACCCTCGAATGTCAAGGGTTCTGATTCTCTCATGATCATCAAATTATGGAAATAAAAACCTTTTTAATATCCACCATGACAATAAATTCTAGGCAGAGTGCTTCAAAGTTAGGCATTATGTTTGCTTTGGAGGGTTTTCCTTATTTGAGCTAAACAAACAACACCTTCTTCAAAAAAGGCAGTGACCTAAAGAAGCAGCGTGATGTGATGGAAAGCTGCACAGTAGATCTGGCATTATACAGACCAGGGTTTGAGTTGACTTCGCAAGTTTCTAGCTGCCCTTTCTCTGAGCTGCCATTTCTGCAGATAGAAAATGAAGGTACATATAATATCTGCTAAATGTAACTGCCATGAAGAGATCTTGAACTTAGATGTATATTTCAAACAATAACCTAGCATATAAATGTGAATTTTCTGCATAAGACATTCATCCATTCAACAACTCTTTCCTGAACAATGGTTGTGTGCCCAGTTTTGTGCCAGGCAATGAGGCAGCTTACAGTGTATATCTTGCATTTATGGAGCCCTTTCTACTTATTCAGAATACTTTTTAAAAATATGTTTTTATTGATTTTAGAGACAGAAGAAGGGAGAGGGATAGAGATGGAAACATCGATAACAAAGAAACATCAGTTGGCTGCCTCCTGCACGCCCCCCACCGGGGATCCAACCCAAAACCAGGGCATGTGTCCAGACCAGGAATCAAATCGGGGACCTCTCTCAGTTCTGGGGTAGAAGTTCAACCACTGAGCAACACTGTCTGGGCTTCAAAATATTTTTTACACTACCTATCTCATTAGGTACAGTGTAAGAAGGGCAGCATAGATAACCCCATTCTCCCAACGTGAAAATTGAGGCACAAAGAAACCAAGGTCACAGAAAATGGAACATAGTTGTACTAATACCTAGTCAGAACAGGGGTCAATTCTACTCTGCAAGTCTAATGGGACATGGGACAATAGTTGTACTCTAATGGATATCTATCAAAGTATAGGCTGATAGCTGCTATTCCTTATTTACTGGGATCATACTGTGTTTTTTTTTAAATTGAACCTGATTTTCTTTGCAATTAATACTGCTTCAGTCTGTAGACAGGCCTTCTTTTTATAAGCATGATCCCCTTTGCAGGCTCCCGCTTGCATAGCCATTTGACTGAGTAGGAGGGGGACTGATGGGGCAGAGGACCTTCCCCAAAACAGGAAATACTCATTTATCCAAAATGATTAAGGACTAGGAAGTTCTGGCAAACTAAATATTCTAATCACCCCAGAATATGCCCCATTTATAGTCCACAGCCTCTGGCAACCTACCAAAACCTTTCAGGGAAAGCAAGAGGCACAGTACTGTTCGCTAGTTTGAACACATGCAAAAATTGGGGTCCATTTGTAACAGGCTCCACAAAGAAGCCTGAGCAAACATTCAGCTTGGCTCTGATGCTGCTTAATGGAAAATTATTACTGATACCATCCATGACTTCAAACACAGTGAAATACACTTTAATTTTAAAACATAAAAGCAGAGTTAAATCTGATAACTGAAGGCATTTTTTTTATATTTTGCAGTGTCCTGTAGCCTTCAATCTGAAAAAAAAAAAACAATTGTTAACAAATAAGATTAGGGAAAAATTGTGGTTCTTTCCAGCTTCTTATTCTTTGGGTTTAGGAAAATGGTAAGCTTGTTTATATATATTGTAGGTTGCTAAGAACATTAAATTTTTTTTTACATTTCTCAAATAGGGAGACTTCTTTACCAATAAGGCATTTCAATATAATACTGAAATGACATGAAGTAAGATAGTAAAGAGGTCTGATTAATATTACACTTTTTATAAAATTGCAACTGCCAGTTTATTAAATGGGTTTTGAGCTATGTTATCTGCACAGATACTTTTTAAAGTGATAATTAGCCCCTTTTCAAACCGCATCCATTTTATAGCAGATACTCTATCATTATAGTTTTTATTTTCAACCCTCATGTGATAATATAATATAAAAATCATTATCCTTAAAATATATTTTTAAATATTTGGTGCCATCTAAATTTTCCAAACCTCCTCTTATCTACCATTGAATGTCATTAGCAGATCATTAAAATCATTGCAAATCTATCTTTGTGATCAAGCAAAGGCATTGAAAACCCTATTGTCAATTATCACCCCGAAGTTATTTAAAATCAAATTTGCCTTTCAAATTGTCCTCATAAAAACTAGCTGTTTGGGACATTTGAGTGTGAGGTACTCCAATACACATTGCCTAAAGAGCCACTATATTAATTCTCTATTTAGTCATGTGAGATTTTTTTTTTAAGAAAAGAAAGCAACTGTGTATTGCTATGGGATAAGAATCCAGAATCCACCAAATCGGTGTAGTTGAGTTTCGGAGTCTGCCATTTATCAAGGGCAAATGATGCACATTAGACTTTGAAGAAGAAGGCACATAAAATCTTACTATCTTTCCTTGTCTTTGGAGACCATCTGCTGAGCTCTGTTTCTTGTATTAGCCTTTCTGGCCAGTAATAAAAATGTAAAGCTCTTTAACAATAAAGGAGAAGGAACTGTGTAAAGGGGCTTGTTAGAAGTGAAAGGGGTTGCTTCTCCCCTCAAGCACAAAGTCTGTGGCCCTTCAGGACACCAACTTATTCCGAATATAGTAAAACACAAATTTAAAATTGCTTTTTGCTTTGAACTCCTTTCAGCCAGTGTCAAATGGAAGATTGCCCTTTAAATTGACTCATATTTAACTAACAATGTTAACATTTATTATCTATTTTTCCAATAATAATATTAAGGCCCATATTTCCTTGTTTGATAAGAAACCGAGGCCCCCAGAATGGTTTGGGTACCTTATCCAAAGCCTCAAATTAATTAGTTGCAGATCCTGAACTCTCCCCTCTGCCTGAAAATGGTGACTTTTCCATTAAAGTCAAACTTGAAGTGCCTACCTTTGGGAATAAATCATTGGGATGACTACCATTTGTCTAATCAGACTCGAGAACTTCTTCCTCTAATAACAACTTTTTTCTTCTCATTCTAGACATAGTTTGACACTATGGGTCCTCCTCTGAAGCTCTTCAAAAACCAGAAGTACCTGGAACTGAAACAGGAATGCATCAAAGATGGTATACTTTTCTGTGATCCAACGTTTTTGCCTGAGAATGATTCACTTTTTTACAACCGACTGCTTCCTGGGAAGGTGGTGTGGAAACGTCCCCAGGCAAGTTTCTTTTTGCAATTTCTGTCTCCCTCTTTATTTCAATTATAACTACTTGGTCCACTCTTTCACTCACACAGTCTACTGCATGTAGACCAATTTAGAAGACAACTTTAATATGGGGAGTTTTAAGAATCTGTGTTTCTGGTTATAACTTGAGGAATCTTGAACTTCAGTCAAATTTTGTCAAGTTTAGTAATTTTAAAAGAGCAAAAGAGAAATATACCATTTTTGTTTTCTTTGGAAGTTCATTTGAGTAAACATGGTGACTCAGAAAACAGCTACACACTTTACTAAGTTGCCTACCACAGCAACTTTATGATAATCTCATACCAATGCAAAGAAAATCTCCTTATCTGCTGAGCATAAATGAAAACTCTATAGAGAGAAGATGGAGCTTGCAATGGGAGAAGGAGGCTTCTTTGCTGCTGTTTGGATACCATCGTCTGTATCCTCCCACAATTAGCAAAGTGAGATTCAAGTAGGACTGCAGCTCTTTCACCACCTATTAATATGGTTCTTTGTGGAGCACCTGTATGTTGTCTCTAAAGCAAGTCTTTTTAAGCCTTCATAAGCCCTATAGGAGCGGGAGCTCAGTGCATAAAATGACAGGAAGATGGAGTCTAGAGAATAAATGACAACCTTTCTATATCTACAGGGTATTAACTGTATAGAAAGATATACTAGCTGGGTTCTTTCCCAAAGTGTGTGACCAGGAATATAAGCCACAGAGGACTGTTATGAAATACAAATTCTTGGATCTTCACAGTATCCTGAAGACTTTCTGATTCTATTTAATCACATACCTTTTGGGGCACTATTATTGAACCACCTCAGTTAGCAGGTTAAGGTTTGCCTTCTTTAATGAGCAAGCTATCACGTTTTATTTGCACTTTCCACAGCTTAAATTCCTAAATGTAGTTCTTACAAGAGCTACTTCAGTTTATGTATGTTGCCACCAGGTGGTGCCAAGATACATCAGCTAAGGCTCTTGTTTTCTATGGGATTCAAACGAGGTCTTTCTTTTCATTTATTTTTTATTTTTCAATTACAGTTAACATTAAATATTGTTTTGTACAGGCTTCAGGTATACAGTTTAGTAGTTAGACAATTATATACGTTACATTGTGTTCCTCTTGATATTTCCAATACCCACCTGGCACCATACATAGTTATCACAATTTCATTGACTATCTTTCCTATGCTTTACTTTACACCCTCATGACTATTTTGTAACTACCAATTTGTACTTCTTAATCCCTTCACCCTTTTCTCCAAGTCCCCCAACCTCTCCCCTCTGGCAATCACCAGTTTGCTCTCTGTATTTATGAGTCTGTTTCAATTTTGTTTGTTCATTTATTTTGTTATTTGGATTCCATATATAAGTGAAATCATATGGTATCTGGTTTTTCTCTGACTGACTTATTTCACTGAGCCATAATACCCTCTAGGTTCATGTCTCAGTTTTTTCCCATAAAGTATGATAGCCATTGAGAGTATGAGAGCTGGAGAAGTCTCTCCATCAGAGGGAAGATTATACTTCTCCTGACTTTATGTGCCTCCAGTTTTTGACATTCCTGCAGATCATTCACCTGCAATAAAATCTGGGAAACGTGAGTAGAATTCACTAGCCATTAATTGAGTATGCAGAGAGGTGAGATTCCCCACCCCCCAGAAATGCATGAAGAAAATAGAACTATAGTGTCTAGAGCCATGCCACTGTTATGAATGGATGACGATAATGAGGGGGACTATTCTTTTCTGATGCTGGATATAAAAGAAAGAAAATCAGTACGTCGGAAGCAGCTGAAATGGAGGCAGGGATTGGAGGAAGGTTTTTCTGGGGGTTAATAAATAGAACAGACTTGAACATATTCATAGTCTAAGCAGTAAATAGTAAAGCAGAAGAGGTTGAAGATGCAGAAGAAAGAAAAAAATGATTGATGATTGATAATTGAAGGAATGAATGATTCCTGGAGGAGGTGGGAGGAAATCCAATGGGAGGCAAAATTGCAAGCCTACATGAAGCCATTCCTCAGATGTGAACCAAGCCAACAGTGCTTCCTGTACTGGCCAGTCTTTTGGCACATCCTTCCTCTGTCTTGGCTAAGTCTTTTGCCTTCATATTCCAAATTCTGTGGATTGAATCCTAGGTGAATTAGCAGGGAAGGAAAAAACTTAATAACTGTGGCAATAGTCCATTTTGCCTGTGAGGTAAGCAATACCTCTTCCAGAGTGAGGGCATGTCAAAAAGAGAGGGTAAATGGGGATGGGCATAAAAAGAATCAACATTTATGGCATGCCTACTATGGGCCCAGGTACTGTGTTTAGAGTTTCCTATACATTTTTTCATTTCATCCTTATTTTCCATAGCTTAGCAAGGTAGGTATCTTAAAAATCACTTTGATATAACTTTTTTTCTTATTTAAAAAGTAAAAGTTGATACTGTATGTCCATTTTATGCATGAGAAAACTGGGTCTTAGAGAGAAGATAAAAATTTGTCCAGGATCAGACTGTTAACATGCTAGAATTTGAGTCCAATTTTGACTGCAAAGCCATTATTTTTCACCAAGCTGCCATTTTAGGGACATAGAATTGTATGTCTCTTTTGCTAAAATATACAGTTCTCCAATCAGTTCTCCTCACTGTCCCCATGCTGCACATCATTAATTGATCCATATTATCCCTTTTGAGAGCATACAGTGAGTTTAGTCTTAGTTAAGCCCAAAGGGAGAAGCACTTGAAAAACATTCTATGCCAGCTTCTGTGCAAGATACATACTTTCATTCTAGTTGAAGAGATGGATATTGAGTTATCAGAGAGTTAAATAATAAATTAATGCCAGATATAAGAAATGCTATTTTCAAACATATAAACAATAAATCATGTAAGATTCTGAAGAAGGAGAGATCTTTGTGGATTGAAGTGGTTGGAGAGGGGGCCTCTTATGGAAAGTAGGGGAAAATTAAGGTTCTGGACCACCATCTGAGTCTCCTCAAAAAGGTTTGGTTTCCTTTTCAGTCAGTGTTGAGCCAAGCCTGTGGTCAAGAACCACGTCAAAGTTCTCTGGCCTCCCATCAGGAAATTTGAGAGACAGCCGTGGGCCTCTCTGAATTGGCTCAGGAAGACCAGATGGGTCGTTGGCCTCACCCACCTCATTGGCAAGGTTGAAATCCTGGTTTGCAGAGAAGCTTACAGACTTCTTGTCCCTTGGCATACCACATAGCCACATACTCAACCAGGCTTATTTGGAAGTCTCTAAAATGGAAGAAGCATGATTAACCTGATACTTTCTCTTTCCTCTCCCATGTTGAAAATCTTCTGCCTTCATAGGCCCCCATGTCTGTAATCACCACTGGTAATTGAAACAAGTAACACAAGTCAAGCCCCACCATCTTAGGGCAGGATTGAGTTCCTCTTATTCCAACTTATAGCTTCCTTGCTATGTACTAAGGAACCACTTTAGATAGACAGAGTGTTTTTGCAATTGATCAATGCTCATACCCTTCAGAGGAAAATACTTTGCCTTAATTTCTCCAGTGGTCCCATGGCCCTAGCTTACTGGGTACACAGGTATATTGCCTGAGACATGTACTCTTGGATTTCCTGTACTCCTGGGTCCTCAACCTATAAATTCTTAGTGAATTCTAAAAACTGAGTGTTACTGAGTTACAGTGTGATTATAAGACTGAAGGTAAGATTTTTATGCTGAAATTTGTTTATCACATTCCCACAGAAAATCTCTTCTCCAGCTTCCTCCAGCCATCCTCCCCTCTTACCCATCTCTGATTTTTTTTCCTGGACGACTTATACTCAGCTACAATAGTCTCTTATAGAAAGATGCATCTAATCTCAAACTGAAATGGAGCAAGGCTCATGGGAATTTGCATAACCAGCTGTAGGAGAAGCAAGTGTACCTGCACAAGATCTTCCGTGAGCTCTTCTGGACAAAATTTGAGTTCAGTTTTCACTATCATTGCTCTTGACCACATCTCCCACTAGGTAACACTTTCCACTGGGGCCATTTCAATACATTATATGGGAAGAGGGTGGTGAGGTTCTGGATTAAAATAAAGAAGATAGGAATAGAAGAGAAAGGTTGATGAGAGGAGACATTAGAAACAGAGGACACAGGTCTAGGTGATAGATTGCATGTGAAGGAATGGTAAAAGAGGAAAGACTTCTTTTTCTAATGGAAATTGCCAACATCCAGCTGAATGTAACTCCTCTGCACAGTAGTTTTGGCCTCAACTGTTCATAAATTTATTTTTCTTTTCATAGATCATGACCCCCACCACCTGAGTAGTCCTGAGTATTTTCCACTGTTGACACATTTGAAGACAATTGAATAGGCCTATACTTTCTATCTATCCTACTTATTTTAAATTCTGCTTAAAAGAAAAACTTTAACAGCTTTATCAAAATGCAATTTATATACCATAAAATCCACCTATTTTAAGCATACATGCATTGAATTTTTAGTAAATTTACAGAGTTGTGCAAACATCCTCACAATCCAGTTTTAGAACAACTGTATCATCCCAATAAGATCCCTTGTGCACATTTGCAGTGAGTAAATACCTTCTACCCCTAACACAAGCAACCATTAATCTACTTTTAGTTTCTATCTAGATTTGCCTATTCTGAACATTTCACTTAAAATGGAATCATAAAAGTAGCTGACTTCTTTTGCTTAGCATAATGTTTTCAAGGGTCATCTATATTGTAGCATGTATCAGTTTGTTCCTTTTTGCTGCTGAACGGTATTCCATTGCATGAATATATAAACTCTTCCCAATAAAGCAGATTGGGGTTTATATATGAAGTCTCCTAACAGACGTTTGATGATTCAAATTTAAAAAAATATTATGTTGTGACTTGGTTGTCTAGGTTGGAAGTGGAAGTTGAGCTTAAGACCTTAGTCCCGGGTCCCATATTCAATTTCCCTTGGAGGGGTTAGAAAGGAAGGGAATATTTCACTGAAGACAATATCTTCATGCAGAAGCAAAACTCCTCAACAGCTAAAATGGACTTCTTGAGAGACTGGTTCAACAATGGTTTTTGCACCTAGGTTCATCTATCAACATCCTGTCTGTAGATGGTTCAGTATTCTAAGGCTAATATAATGGCACCTTGGACTAGCTCACAAAGCCCACAGGTCCTGAATGGCAGTCCTGAACCTTCTGGGACTACTTAGAGCCCCAGATTTAGTCATAATATACCTAATGCAGGGCTGGCCTCACTTGTAGTTACCATGCCACATCACCCTAGTATTGGTTTTAAAGTGTCTCCACTTTTTAAAGTGTCTCTGTTCTTCTGATTGCTGGTTTTCTAGGCAGGCATTTATTTTAATCAATGTTTATTGTCTTCAAATTGTACCTGTGTTAAGACAAATTCTAGAGATGTGGAGGTGGTAGGTGCAAAGAGAGCCACATAGAGTGCAGGGCTCCAAGAATTTTAATTGCATGCCTCTCTACCCCTCCCAGAGGTACCTGGCAAGGGAGATTATGTGAGGACAAATGGGAGGGTCTCTCAATGCTCAGCTAAGAGAACATATTTCCAGAGAAGCTGCTTTTTTTTGGAAGGCTTTGGCTCAGGCATGGATATACGAAGGAACCATTTCTGGCTTTACTTTTAGTTCTTGACTTCCTATTTATGTGTATTTTCCCCATAAGAAATTATTTTGCCTTGACAAAAAGCCCAGTTCAAGGATCATGTTAACTATGCCAACACAGCTGGGAGCCATTAGGAGCTCAGCAATCTTCCCTCCCTTTCAAGCCACCCAAATATGTGACTATGTGAGCTGTCACCTCTCCCACAACTCCACTCCCTACTACTTTTAGATTTGCATTGGCTCATTACCCTTTACCCTTTCTACCTCCTTAGTTGCTTTCTAGTTTTTCACTTCCTTAAAGAGGTAGAAAATATGGCTTAGTAATGATTTGCTCCCATGTTTTACATTGTAATGCTGACATACAGAATGGATTGATTCATATTTAGTGTATTAAATAGAGGAGATTAAATCTTATTAATGAGGTTTAGCCTGTACCCAAAAGTTAAGATATGATTTAAGCAAGTGTTTCAGAACAATTGAGAGCTTTTATTTGTGATAAGAAAAGAAGTGTAAAAAAGGGGTTGATAACTGAAAGAGGTAGTTTCAGTTCTGTCCCTTGAAAAGCTACACAACATTACCCTTTATGTGGTGCCCATTGATAAACCTAAAGGCAAAAGGATGTAAAGGATGTACCAATTAAGGTCTTGGGTTCCTTCTCTAACTGTATATGGTTTTAAGAACTTAAAACTTCAATCCTAGGTCTAGTTACTAGCTGGATGATTGAAGGGGCACGTAACTGCCCTTCTCTGAGCTTGATTCCTCATTCGTGTAATAAACAGGTTGACTAAATAGTCCCTAAATTTGCTTCCAGCTTTGAAAATCTATAGACTTCTAACTTATCATATTTTGAAACCCACTGTTAACTAGCCATCCTTCATATATGAAAAGTGGTGAAGTAAACCTGGGTCATGGGCCAGTTTACAAGGGGAAATGGAAAGCAAGGTGGGCTTTTGCCCAAATATATATTCTGCCATGAATATATTTAGCTTTACACACACACATACACACCATATATGTGTATGTATATATATATAC